ATAAATCTTTGTCTCATTTTGCTCCCAGATCTAATTTTACGCCTGGCGCCTGAAGTTAGGCAATATTTATTTTGCTATGCAAAAAATCAAAAGTTGAATACTAAAGCACAATTTTAGTTACTTGATAATTTTATAATTATTCCATTGACTAAGAGTCTCTGTCGCATTAAGCTCCAAGTTTTAGCTAAAAATAAATATTTAATACATTTTAAAATGTTAACAACCAATCCTAAGATCTTTCGAAATCTTCACTCTTTCAGAGTCTTTGTGAACCGATCGCTGCATTTGGAGAACATTAAGTTCTATGGCTTCGACATGGATTACACCTTGGCAGGTGAGTACACCGAATCGAGTAGAAATAAATAAGATCGCTTATTATATATCTATGAATCTTCTTTATTTAGAGTACAAATCGCCGCAATATGAGCAGCTGGGCTTCAATTTGGTCAAGGAGCGACTCGTCTCGATGGGCTATCCGAAGGAGATATTGCAGTTCGAGTACGATCCAACATTTCCAGTGCGTGGCCTGTGGTTCGATACGCTTTACGGCAATCTGCTGAAGGTCGATGCCTATGGCAACATTCTGGTCTGTGTGCATGGCTTTGAGTTCATCAAGCAGTAGGTTTCACTGTTGAATAGTAAGAACTTTAGTACATTTAACTAACAATGTATTCCCCTTTGGCAGCCATCAGGTGTACGAGCTGTATCCCAACAAGTTCCTCAAGCTGGACGAGTCTAGGGTCTACGTGTTGAACACTCTATTCAATTTGCCCGAAACCTATTTGCTGGCCTGTCTGGTCGATTTCTTTACCAACAGCAAAGATTTTGTTCGGTGAGTTTTGCATAAATGTTATGTTCGACGCACGTTTCCCAACTGCTGCGATCTCCCTGGATGCGCCTTTATCTCTCTCTCCCCCTCCACACTAACACACACTGTCTCGTTCCCTCTCTTCCTCTCTCTTTCTCTCTTTGTCTGTCACTGTCTTACTCGCTCACTATCTCTCTCTATGTCTATTCGTATACCCAACAGCGTTGAACGCGGAATCAAAGCTGGTGATTTTCTATTTACGTATAAGTCGATTTTCCAGGACGTGCGACGCGCCGTCGACTGGGTGCATTCCGATGGCGATCTGAAGCGTCGTACCACACAGGTGAGTTCCAGCATTCGTTTATCAACTCTACTAAAATTGACCATTATCAGACACGAAGATCTCTGTACTCTAGTTCTCTTAATTGAAGTTAGTAATCAAACTGAAATGAGATTGTAGGTTTTTCCATCGATACTAACAGTTGGCCATACTCTATGTTGATCCTTGGCAGAAGCAATCCAATATGTTTCAGAATTAAATTTTTATATAGAATTAGTCTAGAGCGATCTCTCTCTCAATGGGTTTCCTAACCGCTACTCCTCATTAGAGTCTATTGAATTGTTTACGAATTTCGATGCAATGAATGTTTCTCTACATTGATTCAGTCGTCTATCTGTAAACCTTTAAGCTGTTTCCTTCCACTATCTGCCAATTGATTTTCACATCTCGCCTTTCCGCAGAACATGGCCTACTATGTGAAGAAGGACAAGCGTCTGCCGACGGTTCTGTGCCGCATTCGGGAGTCGGGCGCGAAGCTGTTCATGCTGACCAACAGCGACTACACGTACACCAATGAGATCATGACCTATTTGTTCGACTTTCCGCACGGCGCCAATGCCGATGAGCCGCATCGGGACTGGAAGAGCTATTTCGATGTAATTGTGGTGGATGCGCGCAAGCCGTTGTTCTTCGACGAGGGCACGGTGCTGCGGCAGGTGGATACGGAGACGGGCGACCTGAAGATTGGCACGCATATTGGGCCGCTGCAGCCGGGGCAGGTGTACTCGGGCGGGTCGTGCGAGCTCTTCACCAAGTTCATCAATGCCAAGGGCAAGGACGTGCTGTATGTGGGCGATCACATCTTTGGCGACATACTCAAGTCGAAGAAGATACGCGGCTGGCGCACGTTCCTCATTGTGCCGGAGCTGGTGCGGGAGCTGAACGTGTGGACGGAGGAGTGCCAGCTGTTTGCGGAGCTACAGAATCTGGACATCAAGCTGGGCGAGCTGTATCGCGACCTGGACTCGAGTGCCAAGGTGAAGCCGGACATATCGCAGCTGCGCACCTGCATCCGGGATGTCACACACAAAATGGACATGTCCTACGGCATGATGGGCTCGCTATTCCGCTCTGGCTCACGCCAGACCTTCTTCTCCAGCCAGGTGGTCCGATACGCCGACGTCTATGCCGCAACGCTGCTCAATCTCATCTACTATCCATTCTCCTACATGTTCCGCGCCCCGGCCATGCTGCTGCCCCACGAGTCGACGGTGGCCCACGATCAGGCCCACCAGCCGCCACCACCGCTACCGCCCGCCTCCTCGGTGGCCGCACTGGTCGGTGCCAGCAGCAGCGTCGTCGCATCCAAGCTCAACTCGGCGCTGCGCAATGACGAGGTCATCGCTGGCAGCAATGCGCCGGCGAAGGAGGGCAACAGCGGCAAGGACTTGCATCGCGCGGTAAGCTCTTGAGAATCGAGACTGCTTTGAGTGAGCCCTTGGCTAATCATCTTGTCCATTTGCAGAGCTCCATTGTGCACACGCGCCCATCGACGCCCACTGTGGTGACTCACACACACGATGAGGACTACTCGGAGGAGGAGGAGTCGGCCAGCGGTGCAGAGTCCTCGGCGGAGCAGCAGAAGCGCGAGGTCTCCGACTAAATGAATTATCAATCTGTCGCTCACTCCCCCATGTGCGGAGATCAACGAATTTGCAAATCCTATTTCTGTGGTCAATTTGGCAGATCTACTCCGTATACCTAAGCGAAGGTTGCAGTCTCCTTCTACCCCCCATTGCAACTAGTGAGAAACAAGCGATTTTTTTTTCGATTTTACATATACAGTTATAAAGTCTATAAAATATATATAATATATATACACTAGCTGGTTGGTTCCATTTGCCCAAAAAATATAGAAAATGTATTTTGTAACAAAAACAAAAAAAAACAAAAAACAAAAAAAAAATAGAGTGAAAATCAAACGGGTTAATCATGTTTTCATATTTTCTAAAGCGGTTCGATTAGTTTGAACTGTGGGAATCTAACGCAAAATATGAAAAACTCCCATGATTGTTCAATAGCAGTTGAAGGTTTTCATGATCTGGAATTAGAACTGTCGTGAGAGCTTTTCTGAGTGAATATTAACTGAGGGACATTTTTGATAGGTCTAGAAATTAGGATTGTATTCCACTTTTCTCTCGATCATAAAGAACTGGTTGTGATCATAAAGAACTGGTTGCTGTATAAGAAGAAATGGTAAGTTTTCAAAGAGTAGGATCAACAATGATCATATATACAGTACCGCCCTGAGGTTTGTAATCAAGGAAACTTTGATTTGAATCAATTAAATTCCGTTATATGACAAAATAAATCAGTTATGATTAACTGAAGCTTCCGATCTCGACATTTTCATTAGGCTTCTCAAGAAGATGAGGAAAAATATGCAGATTTTTGTATTAAAGATCTTGAACTTTATGAAGGCTCTTCCCCTTTCCAGCTTCTGCCCGTCAGCTCAATTGAAAGTTCTCTTAGGTTATCATAATAATCGTATATATTTAGGAAAAAAAAAACGATGCTTTATAGTGCTATAGTTGATAATGGCTGCATATGCAGATGCCACGGCGCTTGGATTACTGCTTGGCAATCTTGTTGGCATCGCAGCGTAGGTCATTGTAGATGGCCTCGTTCTGGTAGTCGCTCTCCAGCTTCGTGACCAGCTCGCCAGCATTGTCCTGTGGGAAGAGAGACACCGATTGATGAATGAACGGATTGCATTAGGGGCAGGTCGGGGCAGGTCGGGGAGCACTTACGTCAAAGAGCACATTCTGCTCGCCCTTCTGGTACTCGCCAAAGAGGGCGAAGACATCGACGAACTTGCCGTGGGCGCCGAAGCGGTCCGAGATGAGGGCGAACAGATGCTTGATGGTCTCCTGCTCGACGGGCGTGGTGTCGGCGCGGGCGAAGATCGCGCGCGGCAGCTGCACCTCCACGTTGCAGCTGGTGAAGTCGGTGACGGGACGACGCTCCAGGGTGGGGCAGACTAGCTGCCAGTCCTTGTGCTGCTCCAGCTGCTTGGCGGGCACGATCAGCAGCTGCTGCTCCGTGCTCGGCTCGATCTTGCACCAATCCAGGCTGCGGCGCTTGTTCAACAAGGCGGCGCTCAGGCGAGCGCGCTCGCTGGTGGCATCAAAGTGACTGAGAAAGGGAAAGAGAAGGAAAGGAAGCGAAAATTCAGGCCTTGCTCTCACTCGCTCGCACTCAATCTGTCTGTCTTACATGGGCGCCTTCTGCAAGTCGTCGCGGCTGATAGTGGGCGGGGCAACGGCCACGAGCAGCTCCTCGGGCCTCAGCTTCTCGAAGACCAGCGGCAAGAGCTTGTGCTCCCGTGCATCGGCATAGCTGGCAGCGGTAGCCACCAGCATGTCGGCCTTGTTGTTGGCCAGCGCCTCGATGCAGTCGGTGGATTGGACGCACTCCAGCTCTGGGCGAGCATCGCGAGCGTAGGCGGCACGATGAAGCGCCTGGCACTTGGAGAACTCGGCGTCGCGCTGGGCGCAGAGGCGCAGCTTGCGAATGGCACTGCCATCGCGCTCAATCACATCCTTGTAGCCGGCACGCTCCAGATAGACCTTGGGATCGATGGCCTCCTGCTTGCTGTGGTAGACGGCATTCGGCTGGATGAGCAGGTGGGCGGCCGCCGCCTGGTTGTCGGCGTGCAGCCCATTGTTAAAGAAGCGCTCGAGGCGCGACTGCAGCTGATGAAGCTTCTCGGTGCCGTGCACAGCCTGCTCGTTCGATATGTAGCCGCTCCAGGGGCGCTGGGCCCAGGAACAGGCCGGTCCGGTGACAGGGCGACGTGTGCCATCCTCGCACAGATACTCAAAGTCCTCGGGCTTGCCCTCGGCTGCTGGGGCGGTCGCGTCGCCGGTCAGGCCGAAGTATTTCTTGATGTACTGCACCTTGGTGAAGGCGACCTCGCCCTGGCCCTTGTCCAGGCAGCGGATGGCGCCATCGTAGCCACTGTACTTGTCCGGATAGTTGCACTGAGCTGGCTTCTCACACAGGGCGCACAGGTTGGCGTACTTCTTCTTGAGCAGACGGTCCGTGTCCGGATGCGCCGAGTAGTTGCCCACCAGGCACGACTGCGAGAAGAACTCCGACAGAGACTTCAGCTCACGCTCCGTGGCCGAGATCTGCGGATCGGCCGAGACCTTCAGCACATTCGTATTCTTCAGCTTGGTAATCGGAATCCTGTAGCCCACGTTGCGACCGAAGCCGGTGTGGCACGACTTGGCGCCACGCAGCTCCTTCAGCGAGTGAATCGCCGACGATTTCTTCACCAGGATAATGCCCTCATAGCGGAAGTCGGCTGTAGGTAAATGCGAATAAGTGAGTAAGAAAACAAAGTCGAGTTTCGGAACTCTTAAACCTAGCAAAGACTTGAATCGAGTCGAATCAGAAAAGAGTTTGCTTAATCAAAAATCTGTTGAGGCAGATCAGCTACTTTAAACCTTGAATAATTTTATATGAAATGTACTAACATTGCGATTAAATCATTAAAATAAAATACAATATTTAATTAAATTAAATTGAATCATTTTAGAAACAAGTCGAAGTTTCAGAAAAATGTTTTTGAGCACATGACCTTTATGGCAGCCGTAGAACTAGCATTAGACCTGAATGTCTATTATATTATATCTATTCCTTGTATATTATATTTGT